TCAGGAAAAACGTGTGGGCGGAGTCAGGGGTGAGGGCGGAGGAGGGCCGCGAACTCGGGAGAGAGTCCTCTGAGGCCCCGCCCATCCCTCCCGACCCTACCAGGCTCCCTCCGGGGCGGCGGGGACGGGAACGCGCAGGCGCAATTGCATAATTCTTGCCCTGGCGGAAGCCACGGCACTCCCCCAAGCCTTAAAGGGCCCGAAATCGCTCCTACTGCTCCAGCCTTTCCGCACTTTTGCCGGGGGAGGGGGTGCGCAGGCGCAGTGGGAGAACTCGGGGTGGGGGTAGCGGTCGCGTATCAAGTTGCTCTCGTCCCAGCAGAAGCAGGCAAGGCGCAGACAGTACAGGCTCCATCTTGCTGCCCCTTGCATCAATTGGAAGAGAAAAGTTTGTGAGTTGCGCCCCCAAGTTTGGGGGTACCCTGACTCGCGGCGTCGGGTGGCAGAGGAGGCTAGCTGGAGGTGAGTGGACCTGATGGATTGGCTTGGGAAGGGCGGGTGGGATGCAGCCAATCACATCTTTGTTGAGCCCTCGCTCATTCTAGCGATTTTCCCCCTCCCCCCAAAAAACAACAGCAGATATTTATTAAGGTCTGCCCGGGTATCAGTCCTCCTGCTCAGATATTTACAGACATGATTTTTTTAGGCCTCATTTCCCCATTTTTTTAATGAGGAAACTGAGGCTTAGAGAAATTAAGTCAGATGCCCAAGCTTTCACAGCGTATAAGTGGAGGGATTCAGACAGCCGACCCCAGAGCCAGGGCTTTTAAGCAATGCCTGTTGTGTGTGCTCTGGTGGTGGGGAGGAGTGGGTCCAAGAAGTCCAATAAAACGACTCTGGTTTTAATTTTCTGGCTGAGTCTGAGTTTACCCACCCTTACTATGTAAGGCCAGGTATGTAGTCAGTGCCTGCTTAATGAATTGTTGATAATTATTGCCATCTCTCCCTGTTTGGCCCTTCCACCAGCTTTCCCCATGGAGCACACCCAGCCTGCCGAGGATCTCAGCCTGATCCAGCAGCCTTCAACCCCAGAATTTGGGGACCCCGAAGACCCCAGGGACGAGTCCCCTGACGGCTCAGACACTGTGGTCCTCAGTCTCTTCCCCTGTACCCCGGAGCCTGGGAATCCTGAGCCAGATGCTGGCAGCTCCTCACCTCAAGGTAGGATACTTCCCCTGGACTCCTGCTTCTGGGATGCAAGATCGGTGACATGTCAGGCCCAAGACGAGACTTCTGTCTTTGTGTCCCGTCACCTTGAATGTGTCTTCTCTCTCCACCCTGTGAGGGATTGCTTTTGGATTGTTTTCTTTTTTTTAAATTGTGGCAAAATGCACATAACATAAAATTAGCCATTTTAACTGGAATTGCTTACAATTCAGTGGCAGTAAGTGACCGTGGTGTGTCACTTTGACATCTTTGTAGTTCTAGAACACTTCCATCACCCCAAAAGGAAAACCCCAGAGGTATTAGCAGTTGCTCCCCATCCACTTCTTCCAGCCCCTGGCAACCAAAATCTGCTTTCTGTGCCTATGGACTTGCCTGTTGTGGACATTTCCTATAAATGGGTTCATATAACATGTAGCCTTTTCTGTTTGACTCCTTTTACTCGGCATGTTTTTAAGGTTCACCTGATTGTAATGTGTGTCAGTACTTCATCCCTTTTATAGCTGAATAATCTTCCTTTTTTTTTTTTTTTTTAATCTTCCATAGTATGGAAGGACCATATTTACTTTATTCATTCACCCCTTGATGGACATTTGGGTTGTTCCTCTATTAGTGAGTGAATAACGCTGCTGTGAACATGTATGTTCATGTTCAATTTTTGTCTGAACATGTGACTTTCAACTCTTTGGGGAGTACCATGCTAGGTCAGATGATAATTCTATGTCTGACTTATTGAGCACCCAAGGATTTCTTTTGACGGGAATCTTTTGAGAGTGTGACACGATCCCCCCGGGGCCTTTGCCCCTGCTGTTCCCTGTGTGAAATGCTTTTCCTGCACCTCTCCCCAGGTTTCTTCAACTGGCCAAGCTCACAGTTGGGCCTCTTTAGAGTGGCCCTCTCTGACCACTTTCTCTGAAAGGGACTCACCCCCTGCCCTTCCTTCTTTCTGCCCCTCTTCCACCTGCTTTTCATTTCTCCTGAGCCCATATTTCAGCTTAAGCTTTCATTCTATTTCTGTTTCTGTCTGACTTCCTGGCTTGTCCATGTGCTCTTGAGGGCAGAAACTTTGTGCAGAACCTTGTCAGGATGGAGGAGAAATATACACCCTGGGCATCTGAGAGGGTGGAGTGAGTGGACAGTGGAGCCAGGCACTGCCTCTGGTAGTTCCAAGCCCCCAGCTGCTGCTGCTGAGTCGCTTCAATCGTGTCTGACTCTGCGCAACCCCATAGACGGCAGCCCACCAGGCTCCCCCATCCCTGGGATTCTCCAGGCAAGAGCACTGGAGTGGGTTGCCATTTCCTTCTCCAGTGCATGAAAGTGAAAAATGAAAGTGAAGTCACTCAGTCGTGTCCAACTCAGCGACCCCATGGGCTGCAGCCTACCAGGCTCTCCGTCCATGGGATTTTCCAGGCAAGATTACTGGAGTGGGTCACCATTGCCTTCTCCGCCAAGCCCCCAGGGTCTGGCCTTAAAACCCAAGACATACTGAGGGGAAACTGAGGCCCTTTCTCTCTCTCCCAGCAGGCAGCTCCCTGAAGCACTCAACGACCCTCACCAACCGGCAGCGGGGCAATGAAGTCTCGGCCCTGCCAGCCACCCTGGACTGTGAGTGGGCCCCTGGTCCCCAGGGGAGAGAAGCGGCGGGTGGCAGGGGCTGGGAGGAGCGACTTTGGATGGGGAGTGAACGGAGTACTGGAGCAGAGATGGGACAGGTGTGGACTCTGCCTCTCTTTGGCCCCCAGCCCTGTCCATCCACCAGCTCGCAGCGCAGGGGGAGCTGAGCCAACTGAAGGAGCATCTGAGGAAAGGTGTGTGCCCACACGCGTGTGCCAGTGTGACTTCACCCGCTGGTGTGTGTGTGTGGCTGCTGACATGACCTGAGCCTCCATGTGTGTGCCTGTGTCTGTACGTGTGCCTGTGCATGTCCACACGTGTCATCCACATGTATGCCTCCCTGCCCCACACCTGACCCCAGCCACCCACCCCACCCCCAGTTCTGCAGCCTTGGGGAGTGGGCAGGGGTACATCCCAGTGGTACCACCCCCCTCCTGCCAGGCGACAACCTCATCAACAAGCCGGACGAGCGCGGCTTCACCCCCCTCATCTGGGCCTCCGCCTTTGGAGAGATCGAGACTGTCCGCTTCTTGCTCGAGTGGGTGCGTCCCAGCCCAGCTGGGGGCTTCCTGAGGACTGGAGGGCGGGCAGCGGTTTCAGCTGAGTCTGCTGGGCCGTGTCTGTAAGATGGAGCTAACATGGGGGCCCCAGGATTGCAGAGGCTGCCCCCACCCTCCCTCTGCCCTGGCTCTGTCACTGCCCCCTCTGCTTTTCCCAGGGTGCTGACCCCCACATACTGGCCAAGGAGCGGGAGAGTGCCCTGTCACTGGCCAGCACTGGTGGCTACACGGACATCGTGGGGCTTCTGCTGGAACGTGATGTGGACATCAACATCTATGACTGGGTGAGGCGCCACCCGCTGGCTCTGGGCACCTCACAGGGTACCAAGTCTATTCGGGGTGCTGAGACCCATCCCTAAGCCTCATAGAGCTACCAGTTTTGTTTTTGGTTTTTTTTTTTTGAGGGGTTTAGCTGACACATAAACAGCTCAGATATAGTAGACAGAGCTGAGGCCGCTTGTAGAGCCAGGGGAAGTCAGGGTGGGCTTCCTGGAAGAAGCAGTGTTTAAACTGAGATCCAGAGAATAAGCTAGGTGGGCCAAGTGACCAACAGGAGGAGGAGCCACATTAAATTGGAAGGTGTGGGGGTTCATGAGAATCTGGAAGAGATGGTGTCAATTGTCTGACAGAATGGAGGAACGCCACTGCTGTACGCTGTGCGTGGGAACCATGTGAAGTGCGTGGAGGCCTTGCTGGGTGAGTGGAGTAGAGGATGGCCCTGCAGGAATCCTGACAGCCAGGGAAGGGTCTGAGCTCTGCCTGAACTGCTCTTAGGATGGGTAAGAGCTTTCTCCTGGAGGACTGAGGTGGGGACAGGAGGTGGCAGGAACAGCACAGGGGTCTGGCTGACTGGGTTGAGCACACACACTCTGCATACCTCAGAGACCCTGGAGGTGGAGATTCCAGTGGCCACATTGATCAGAGGTCAGGCTCTTGTCCAGGGCCACACAGCTACCAGCAGACCTATGGCTGCGTGGTGGGTAGTCCCTGCACCTCCGCACCCCACCCAGGCTCCTGGTCCCCAGCCCAGCCTCCTCTGCAGCACCTGTTCTGCTTTGCAGCCCGAGGAGCTGATCTCACCACTGAGGCAGACTCCGGCTACACCCCGATGGACCTCGCCGTGGCCTTGGGATATCGGAAAGGTTGGCCTGAGACACTTGGAGGCAGTGTCAGGGTGCTGGAGGTGGGATAATCCACAGCAGGGTGCATGGGACATCCCTTTTGGATGTCAGATGCTAGCAGCGAAAGTGTTCATGTCAGCAAACATCAGGTGCTGGTGTATACTTGGCCTGGGCATGTACTAGTCCCAGCTCTCGGGGCTCCCCGTGTACTGGGGCAGGAGGCCAATGTGTATCAGTGACAGGGGCCGTAATGGAGGGACATGCAGGCACTGAGAGATCCAAAGGAGGCCCCAGCAGGGCGAGGATACCAGGAGGGCCACAGTGCGCATGGCCATGGAGACCAGCCCCCTCCATGGCAGGAAGTGGACATGAACAGGGGCTGGAGACAGACCCCAGTTTGACTCCCTACTTCAGAAAATGGGGAGATCCTAACAGAACTAACCCCTGGGGTCATGGGGGGTGGTGCATGGGAAATATCCCATTCCATCCTTCCTTGATGGAGTTTCAGTCCATTTGAGAAAGTTCCAGTTTGCCAATTTTATTGGGTAAGGAATATTTTTATAACTGAAAAACCTCCAAAAATGCATTTTTACAAACTTCGGGGAAATTGAGGTTCCTAGGGTAGAGGCCTGTCTTCCCAGCTGTTCTCTGGCAAGGATCTGATCTACTTGAGGAGGAAATGGGTCCTCCATCCAGGCCCCAGGGCTGAGGCCCCTGCTCACACCCTGAGGGGAAGGTACAGGTTGGCCTGTATCTTTGCAGCCACTGTTCAGTTCATGGCCCACCTCTCGCCTGTTCTGTTTCCAGTGCAACAGGTGATCGAGAACCACATCCTTAAACTCTTCCAGAGCAACCTGGTGCCCGCCGACCCCGAGTAAACACCGCCCACCAAGGACTCAAGACACTCAGGGAACAAAATGGTTGACCCAGAGCTGGGGGAACCCAGAACCGGCTTCAAAGGCAGCTCCTGGACAGACGGTGGGAGGGGGCCCTTTCCAAGAGGAACCAATAAACCTTCTGTGCAGAACTTGAAGGACTTTGCTGTGCTTCTTGGAGGAGGCAGCCACTCAGCAGCCTCACACCTTCTTCCCTAGCACACGTAGGTGATAGATGACCACTCGGCCAAAGAAATCAGTGGTGTCCTCAAACGTCACCTTCAGCCGGTCCACCTCAGCAGGTGGCACTGGGAAGGTGTAAGCAGAACAGTCAAGGGAAACAGATTTCTTTATCTTTTCCCACCCGCCAGCCCCAGCTCAGATACATCCACCATGCTGGGTGACCCAGCAGACTGTTGGCCCCTCAGAAGCTCTCGCACAGAACAGACTGTCATGAGCCCATTTTACAGGTGAACCAGTGGAGACCTAGAGGCCACTTGCCCAAGGTCACCTGCCAGGGCCCACAGCTTTCAGAGGCGCAGATCACCCCACCCAGTGGCTGAAGCAGGATATCTGAAGTGAGTTGTTGTCCTCAGGGTAAAAATCCACAATCTTGCTAAGAGCCTCACTCCCCAGAGAACCTGCAGCAGGGAAAGAAGCAGTGAGGCAGCGAGCCCTCTCTAGTCCCCCACTTTCCAGGGTTTTCAAGTACCTTCCAGGCGGCCCTGGCGACTGGAGAAGCCCCCCTGGAACTGGATCTGCAGCTGGGAGACACAGATGCACTGGGGAAACTCCAGTGTTACCCACTGGGAGGGACCCTGGAAGCAGACAGAAAAGGAAGGCCCGTGAGCACTTCATGCTCAGCCATGCTATGCCTGTCCCTCTCACTGACAGTCCATGAGGGGTGGGGAGCACAGTGTGAGCACAGGTTCCCTTCCTGGCCAGTCTGCCCAGCTGGGGAGCCCCCAGGTTCTCAGGGAACACTAGACCCCTAATGATTCGTTTTGGTGGTGCAGCACAGCTTGTAGGATCTTAGTTCCAAAGTCAGGGATTGAACCTGCACGCTCGGCAGTGAAATCACAGTCTCTCAACCACTGGACCAACGGGGAATCCCTCAGACTCCCCGCCCCGATTCTGAATCATACTAGGGGTGGAGTCCAGGACAGGGTGCCTCACCTGGTCCGAGTTCCAACACGTCTCCTCGTCCTGGTCGAAGAGGTGCTTCTTGCCAAACTGCCTAGTGTTCCGATTCAGCACCGAACTTACCCTAAACGGAGTCGCAGCGTGGAGAGGTGCTGAGCACCGCGGCGAGGGCTCGCCTACTACCTGGCTCACCCCTCCCTCACCACCGGTTCCCTCATTTCCGTCTGCCCCTTAGGACTAGATCCCAGGCCTAGGGCCTCGTCCGCCACTGCCCGTCCCCGTTCACACCCCACCCCTGCCCGGGGCTCTCACCTGCTCACTGTCTCTGGACAAACCAAAGAGTGGGTCATCTCGGTTCCACAAAGCCTCGCAGGACTCAGGGCTGGGCTCAGTCCGGGTCGAATCCAGGCCCCTGGATTCACACGGCGGCCCTGTTTCACGCCTCAGAATCTACGCGTCCTCACCTATAGCGCGGCACAAGATCCGTCACTGCCCGGTCTCTCCAGGCCTAAATGTCGCCTTGACCAACCAACCCCTTGCTGGAAAAACCTGGAGTTTCGGAGACTCTGCTAACGACCCCAGGCCAGGCCTTTCACAGTGGGTGCAAGGAAGGTAAATAGGTTTCCTATCGGTTTAGGGAGCAGTCGGTCCTTCTCGGAGCCTCAGTTTCTCTCAAACTGCTTTCGGAACCAAAAGCAAGACCCGGAACCGCGTGAAAGCCGCGCAGGCGCGCCCGGCCCTAGCGCCCGGGGCGTGGTTTAATTTACCCCGCCCCTCAGTGCCTGCCTCTTAAAGGACCCTGGTCCAGTGATTGCGGGCTTCCCTGCTGGCTCAGTGGCGAGGAATCCTGCTTGCAATGCAGGAGACGTGGGAGACGTGAGTTTGTTTCCTGGGTTGGGAAGATCCCCTAGAGAAAGAAATGACAACCAACTCCGTATTCTTGCCTGGGAAATCCCAGGGGCAGAAGAGCCTGGAGGGGTACAGTCCAGGGGGTCGCAAAAGAGTCAGACACAACTCCCCTGGTGGCTCAGATGGTAAAGAATCCACTTGCAATGAGGGAGACCTCGGTTCGATCCCTGGGTTGGGAAGATGCACTGGAAAAGGGCATGGCAACCCACTCCAGTGTTCTTGCCTGGAGAATCCCATGGACAGAGTCCATGGCGGCAAAGAGTCGGACATGACTGAGTGACTAAGAGCAGAGCACAATAACTAAATAACAACAACAAGCTGAAGCTGGAGATGCTTGTAGAGGAGGCGCCTTCCTTCCCTAGGACTTCCCCAAGGCCAGCCCTGCAAGGAGACAGGCAGTGGCATTTCCTACTTCGGTGGAAAACAAGAGGGCCATGGATTTCTACAAGCAAGTCCCTCGGATCTGGAGGGAAAATGCAGGTATCGAAAGCAAGTGAGTGCCTACTGTGGGGTGCGGGGGCTGTCCTTTGGTACCTGCAGGTATAAAGCACTAGTTTTAGAGTGCAAGAGACTTCTTAAAATGATGTCTTCCCACCAGTAGAATGAAGTCTGCCAAGTTCATTCCCTAACTGCAGAAGGATTCTTTAAAAAAAAAAAAAAGGATTCTTTACTGTCTGAACCACCAGGGAAGTCATGTCTGACCCTTTTGCCACCCCCTCCAGGCTCTTCTGTCCATGGGATTTCCCAGGCAAGAATACTGGAGTTGGTTGCCATTTCTTTCTCCAGGGGATCTTCCCAACCCAGGAATCGAACTCACATCTTCCATGTCTCCTGCATTGCAAGCAGGATTCTTCACCACTGAGCCAGCAGGGAAGCCCACAAACCTGGGAATCCCTGCACTTTTCACTGCTTCCCAGAAGCCGAAGGAAGAGTTGAGGAAGAAGCCATGATGGTGCGAGTACTGGGCGTCTTTATCAGCCTCGTGTGTCACCACTGGGACACAGGAGTCCTGGCTTCCAAATCTGTCTTCGTCTTAAATGCTGCCTGTGACAGGATTCTTGGAGGAGGGGTAATGTGAGGTGGGTTTTGAAGGATGAAGAGGAGTTTGCCAAACTGGATTATACAAAGCCTCAGATACATGGCTAAAGTTTTGGTTCACTGATTCAGTAAACAACTCCTGCCACTCCCTACTGCCCAGCCCTGTGCTGAGAGGTCTCAGTTCCAGCCCCATATCTGAAGATCTCCCAATCTGGGGAAGAAAGAACTAGAAACATACAATCCCAGGCCCACGGGACCAGAGCTGAGCCAGAGGGAGAGATGAGGCTGGGGAAGTAGAGGGTCTACCTGCGGGAGGGCTTCCTGGGAGAGGGGATAGTGTGCCTGTACCTTATTGAGTGGGCAAGAATTCACCAAGGTGAGAAAAATTGGAATGGGGAGGTGGATGGGAAGGCAGAGTGAACAGTATAAGCAAAGGCCTGGTTGAATAAAAGACCATGAATTTGAATAAAATATGTAAGTCCAGATCCTGCTGGGCCTAAAGCAGTCAAGAAAGGTGTTTGAGAAAGGCGGTACACCATCCAATCCGTGTGAATGGAGACTTCTGGACAGAGCAGCCACTGGCAAGAGGCTGCAGTTCCTGGCTTTAACTGAATGGTCTGGGATCCAGCCCCTTTCTTCAAGGGCTAGGGGAATGGTCCTCCTGGCATCCTACTAGTGTCTGACCAAGTCCACAGCAGGAGTGGGGGCTGGCTGGGAAACTGGGACATCAGCGGAAGGGCCACCCCATCAGCCCCTGCCGGCCAGGACTTCCTGCATTCAGTTATGACCTCGTGCCATACAGACCTGACTCTGCTAGTCTGAGGGCCAGGGCCAGTATGGGGTGGGGGGTGGGGGGGGGCTGGTATCAAAAAACACCTCCCTACCTCTAGAGGAATTTAGGAAGAGTATGGACCCTGGAGAGTCCAGATCAGGTTCAAATCTTGGTTAGGCCATTCACTCATTGGCTGTGTGATCTTGGACAAATACGTTGAGCTCTCTGAGCCAGTTTCCTTATCTGTGAAATTAAGAGAATTCTATTTACAGGACTACTAGAGAATTCAGTGGACTCTTCAGGCTGACATGTAACAACAGTGGTTGACATTTGTTGAGCACCTACTCCGTGTTTAACTTGAAGCCACATCTGTCTCCATCCACTAGATGGTTAAATCTGCTGTGCTGGTCCTTGTCACTCCCATTTTACAGCTAAGGATACAGCCGCTCAGCCACTCAGCAGCCAAGGTTCCCCAGGGAGGATATGCACAGCCCCAAAGCCCCCTTACCACTCCTGGTCTTGGCATGGAGCCACCATGCCCACTGGGATGAAGCCAGCTTCGTACCCTCTTCCCGCCTCCTCACCCCACCGGCGCCTGGGCATGAAAGAACCTCCTGTTTCTCCAGGGAATTAGCAGCTCTAAGCTCCCAGCAGGGCAGCCAAAAGTGGTCCATTCATTTGCCTTAGTGAGAAGAGACTAATCACGCCCTCCTTCCTCACCCCAGGGGGTGGGGCAGAGGGAAGTTTAGAAGAGCCAGGAGCTGTAACTCTGGTTGGCTGAGGGAAACTGAGGCAAAGAAGTCATTTATGTAAGGTCACCCAGGGGAACTGGGATGCAAACTTCAGTCTCACTCTAGAGTTGAGCTGAGTTCAGCATTTTTCAGGAGAAGAAATGGAGGCTCAGAGAGGGTCATGGATTTGCTGGAATCACACAGCAAGTATGGGTCAGCAAGGATTCTGGGGAGGCAGCCACCCTCAAGGCAGAAAACAGGTCCCACTTCCCATAAGTTTGTCACCCTGGAGTAGGGCAGGGAAAAGCCCTCAGGTTGCTTTGAGCTTCAGTTTCCCCCTGGGGCATAAGTGTAATGATTGCCCCAAAGCCACAGCCTGGAGAGTCTGGAGTGAGGGTGATGGAATCCTCTGGGGTTGGCAGCCCTCTGAGGGGCAGACCTGGGTCTGATTTATCCCCCGGGGCCTGCGTGGGTACCGCAGGGCCCAGCTCAGGGTAAAAGGATGCTCACTTGTTTCTGCCAGGACTTGTTGGTCCTGGCAGGAGGTAACCTTGGGAACCTGGGTAAGTGGAGATGACAGTAGGCAGGAGAGGGGGTGGCCAGGGAACACCTTGGGCCACAACTGAGTGTGCTGGGCGGTGAATATGAGTGAGTGTACTGTGAGTACACTCTGGGGGCCTGTCCCCGTGTCAGCGACTTGGTGTCAAGTGGTCGTGGCTGGGCGCTGACTGTCTGTAGGTATGCCCATGGCCATAATCATGCTTGGCTGTAAACAACACGGGGCAGATGTGAGCTGTTTGTGGCTGCCAGGAAGGCTAAGTTTCCATGGGTATGCACAGCAACAGTTGTGTTTGAGTGTGAAGGCACTAGGTGCAGCTGGGCTCAGAGTTGCTAGTTTGGTTGTACCGTGGATATGACATGTGCGTGGCCTGTTGACTTATATGTGGCCTGATCAGGTGTGGCCAGCTGTCACTGTATGTCTGGGATATGACTTCGTATCAGTGGTTGGTAGTGATGTTGTATGTGACAGGTGTGAATATGCTTGCACGTGCCCTGTCGCTATGTCACCTTTGGTGTGTGAGAGGCATTTCAGGGGACAGTGTCTGTTCCTGATGCCTAGCTCTCCTGGAGAGTCCTGCCTCCTAGCTCATTCTCTGGGCAACCAGCCTCCTCCCCTGTTCCCGCCCCCGACTCACAGCAGTCCCTGGCCTAAGACCCAGTGTGGGGGAGACAGAGAGGGCACGCAGGGCTGAGGGTGGGAGGCCGTTGGCCCATTCCCAGTGCAGGCCTATAAATAGCTCTTTGAGCCCAGCAGATTCCCAGGCAAGGTTGCCTCATTCAAGCCCCCAGCAACAGCCTGCTCCCAGGCCCCAGGCCAGTCCCTCTAAGCTCAGCCCTGGCACCAGTGAGGGGAGCCAGGGAGTGGGGAGGAGCGGGGAGGGAACAATTGGGGGGGTTCACGGTGGGGATTCGCTTGGTTCGGAAGCCGCAGACCTGGTCTCCCACTTGTTCAGAAGCGCAGTCGTGTCCAACTCTTTGTGACCCCATAGACTGCAGCATGCAAGCTTCCCTGTCCTTCACTATCTCCTTGGGTTTACTCAAACTCATGTCCATTGAGTCGATGATGCCATCCAACCATCTCATCCTGGGTTACCCCCTTCTCCTGTCCTCAGTCTTTCCAGCATCAGGGTCTTTTCCAATGAGTCGGCTCTTTGCATCAGGTGGCCAAAGGATTGGCTCTTCAGCTTCAACATCAGGGCTCCCACTTGGCCCCTATCCATACTCTGCAACCTCAGGCAGGTGGTCCTATCTCCCTGAGCCTCAGTTTTCTTGGCTGGAAAATGGGCAGCAGCTTGATAGCAGCTCCCAGCTTGTGTGTTTACTTCCCATTTCATTCTACCAGTAACCCTGTAAGGCGGTTTACTTTTAATGATCCCCGTTTTTGTCAGGGAAACTGAAACACAGAAAAATGAAATGGCTGGTCCAGAGTTACACTGTTAGGGATTTCAGAGAGGATTTTTTTTTTTTTTTTTTTTTTTTGGCCATGCTTTGAAGCCTGTGGGATCTCAGTTTCCTGACCAGGGACTGAACCTTGGCCATGGTAGTGAAAGTACCGAATTCTAACCACTAGACCACCATGGAACTCCTCAGAAAGAGGTTTTGAACTCTGGACTCATGTGGGCCAAACTGCGGCTCCCACACGTGTCACCCAGACTCCTGTCCCTGCTGCCTGCCACCTGCAGACACTCCCATTAGTGTGATCCCTGACTGCCATCCGTCTTCTGCGATGAGAAGTTCCCCTGTGTGTCACTTTGGTGCCTGCGGCCACCACTAGCCCACCCCCAGGACAGCAGGCTGACACAGACCTTCCAGGGCAAACTTGCTCCCTTGGGGTCTTCCCTCATCCTTCACTCATTCTCACCCCCTTTTTGGTAATCTTGCTGAAACTCACCCTCAGAGATACAGCCGCACACATACATGGATGCAGGACACTCAACCAGTGCAGCCCTTCTCGTGCTGAGAAACGAAGACCCTGGGAAGAAAGGCTTGCTGGGGAGAGAGCTGATTTCTTTATATTTTTGTCCCCTCTCGTTTCCATTTTTCATTATGGGGAAATACACAGAACACAAAATTTACCATTTGAAAGTGCACGAAGTGGCAGTCATCCACATTACTGTGCAGCCATCACCACCGTCTAGCTCTAGAATATTTCCAGCATGCCCAAAGGAAACCCTGTGCCCATTTGCAGTCCCTCCCTGTCATTCCCCTCCCCCAGCTCCTGGTCATCACAGTCTGATCTCTGCCTCGGCATTTATCGATTCTGAACATGTCATATAAAGGGACTCATACGGGGACCCTTGTGTGTCTGGCTTCGCTCACTCAGCATATTGTTTTCAAAGTTCATCTATGTTGAAACACGTATTAGTACTTCGTTCCTTTTTACGGCTGAATAATATTCCATTGTAGACTCTTTAAGATCTGGGATCTCCCAACAAAGACATGCACATCCCCCCACCATCAAAGCAAAAATATTTCTGTAACAACAATACCTGGTCCACCCCAGGTACTCCATAAAAGCTGACTAGATGATAGAATGAATGGATGAATGATAGTTCTGACTGGCACTGGCAGAAAAAGCCTTAGGTGTGACACAGCTGGGCTCTGACTTTGCAAGTCTCTTACCAGCTGTGTGACCTAAGGAGCTTCCTCTCCTCTCTGAGCCTGGCTTCCTCTCTATACCTTGGTGTAAAACAGTAACTGTAGCCAAAACTGTTTCAAGTGTGAGCCCTGGAGAGCTAGACAGACCAGGATTGGAATCCCAGCTCTGCCCTTGGCCTAGCCGTGACCTTGAGAGAGACTTCATCTCCCTGGGGACTCAGTTTCCCCATCTGTAAGATGGAGCAGGCCCCACCATGGGACTTCTGGGGACACTTACTGCGAATGGGAGGAAGTCTGGCACAGTCGTCTCTGGGGTGGGGTGAGTGGTCGTAGGAGTGGGGAGGGGATTTTAGGCAGAGGGAGCCCCCTCCCTCGCACAGTTGGAGGCTTCAGGCTGGCGGGGGCGCATGCGCAGAGCAGCCCCGCAGCCCCTTTATAAGCGCTGAGGCGGCGCTGGGGCGAGCAGAGCGCAGGGCGCAGGGGTGGACCCGGCGGCGCGGATTGAGCCCAGCTAGCGTCCTTTGTGCCGGTCGACCGCCCCGGGATGCATTGGCGCTAGGAGCCAGGTGGGGCCGGTCATGGGGAGGGGGTTACGTTGAGGGAGAGCCTACGGGATTCACACACAGCTCGAGACTGGGGAGGAGGGGCTGGGATCAGAGAGAAGCCCCTAGCATGGGGTGGTGGCTCAGAGGGGGAGGGAAGCCTCGAGCCCGGGAGGGAACGCAAACTAGCGGAGGGCTTGAGAATGTCAGGGGGATTCGGATTTGGGGGTGAGGTTGTCTAGAGAATGTGGAGACGACCCTGCGATGGGGAGGGGCCGGGCTGGGGGTGGGTCTTAGAGCTGGGGAGGCACCGGGAACGAAGGCTAAAGAAGGGCCGCCCCAAGTTTAGAGGTAAGAGGGGAACAGCACCCGCTGAGCATGGGACTCCGGAACAGGGCACCCCGTGTCTGAGCTGAGACACCCCAAGATTTTAAGTGGGGATTCCCAGTTTGCAGATGAATGCAGGATTCCAGGATGGACTGCAGCGGTGAGGGGGCTCCCCAGACCAGCCTGAGCCCGATAGAAGGGGGTCTGTACAAAGACTGAACCCCCATAGGGAAGGGGTGTCCTGCTGTGTCTCTGCCCTTTTGGCTCAGGTCTTGTTACCACATCTTGACTTAGGCAGGAGGCTCTGGGGGCGCTCCATCCCATGGTGCTTCCTGTTGTTTCCTGGGACCTAGAGTTGGGGTGCTGTCCCTTCTCTCGGGGAGTACGCTGTGTATCTGAAGTGAATACTAGGTGAGAGCCCCTTAAAACCCGCAGCTATCAGAGCACCCAGTCGCCAAGGGGGAGCTCCCGCATACTTTCACATCTGGCCACGTCCTCGCCACTAGACACAGACCCTTGCCTCGCCCCATCAGTCCTCTCTGTCCGTATGGACGTATGTGGAAGTCCTGGATTGGTTTGGGGGCACAGACACTAGGAAGGAAGGGGCTGGCGCCCTGGGCCCAGCCTGGGCAGGAGCGACCCCCATCCCTGTGTGCGGGGCTTTGTTCCTCTCGGCAGCATTAATGGGAGACAGCCAGGCTGAAGAGAGGGTTGGCGCTGGGCCCCAGCGGGGGTTGTGGGGGAAGGGCAGGGAGGGAAGCCTGGGCAGACCATGGGACCCCAGAACCCCAGCAGCCTCGCAGGCTTAGGGACATTCCCAAATGGAAACTGTCCCCCAGGAGCCAGGGACTTGTGTGTGTGTGTGTGCGCGCGCGTGTGTGTATGTGTGTCTACCCCATGCTGGGAGGAGGTAGATGCTCATGGTGTCCTCTGTGAGTCTAATGTGACCAAGGTTGTGTCTTTGTCAGGAAACTTGTGCCGGAGCCACATCTCCCGGTTGCAAAATGATGTGTGCCCACCAGTCACCAAAGCCACAATTTATCCAGTCTGGTCTGTGCCAGGGGCTGGCAGCTACATGTGTGAGTGTGTGTGAGGAACTGTGTCTGACAGAGTGGCCTCATCGAGGGGCTTCCGTGGGGAGCCTGAGACTGAGGGTGTGTGTCTTTGTGCAGAAGACATGCTGCCTGCCTTGTAAGTGCCCATATTGTCTCTCTTTGTTAATGTCACTGTGAATCTGTGAGTGTGAGTCTCCAAGGCTCTGAGCCTAGAGTGTGTGGCTGTGTATTTGTCCCGTGTGTACAGCCAGGTCCTCTCCATGTGATCGGCAGTGTGGACCCTGGGTGGGGGAGCGTGAGATGTGGTCTGTGTGCAGAATTGGGGGGCTAATTGGCAGGGGAGACATTGGCAGGGGTTCGGGTCTCCAAGCGGCAACCAGGGCTGATTTACTGAGCCTGGCTTCCTTTCTCCTCCAAGGAGTTCCATGCGTTGAACCCATGCACACAAATACACCCTGACTCCAAGGCCAGTAACACACACACGTGTGTGCTCATAGCCTCTGCTAAGCATTACTGGTGCCCACACACCCAGAGACCACACTTGGTCCCCCGTGCCCCACGCAGCACACACTGCCACTGTGGACCCTCATACATGGTCCATACCACGGAGCGCATCCTTGCCTGGACAGTGCCTCGATGCACAACCAGGCGCAAACATGCAAAAAAACGCCTGCTGGCAAACTCACCCTCACTCAGTGCCTTCTGAGACAGGAGGTGAGTGTGAGGGAGGGGGAGACGCGCGCGCGCACATACACACACACACATCTCTCTCTTTCTTCCTGGCCACCCCTCCCCCAAAGCCCCACAGGCCCCTACTTGCATATGTATGAGACTCATGCATTATTAATAAGGGGACAAGCCCCAGACAGCTGTGTAAATGCTCACCTCTGGTGGCCCTGGGGAAGAGGCATTTTAAGAGAAAGGGTGTGGGTGTGTGAGGGTGCCGTTGAAGGGGATGGGTATGTGTGCGAAGGTGTGTGTGGCAGGACGAGTGTGCACCTGAACCCGTGTCTGTCACCTTGTTGTATATTTGAGTGTGTACACAAGCCTTTGTGTACAAGTAGCTGTTGTGAAAGTGAACATTTCTTAGGCTTCACAAGTCAGCTCATTCCATTCTCCCAGTAACACTCTGAGGTCTGTGCTGGGTGAAGCCCATTTTACAAGTGGGAAACTGAGGCACGGAGTGATGAAGCAACATGTAGGGAGTAGAGACAGGCCTTGAAACTAGTCATGAGGATATAGTGTGAGCTCTTCATCGTACAAAGTGTGTGTGTGGAGGGGTGTGTGGTTGTGCATGTGCATGAGAGTTCTCTGTACTTGCCCCCTCCTAAGGCTTCCCAGGGGGCATTAGTGGTAAAGAACCCGCCTGCCATTGCAGGAGACGTAAGAGACACAGGTTCGATCCCTAGGTCAGGAAGATCCTCTGGAGCAGGGCATGGCAACCCACTCCAGTGTTCTTGCCTGGAGAATCCTACGGACAGAGGAGCCTGGTGGGCTACGGTCCATGGGGTTGCAAAGAACCGGACGGGACTAAAGTGACTTAGCATGCATTCACACAAGGCTCTCCTGGAGCAGGCACAGTCCAGGGTCCTACCCCACCCTTTAATACCCATCCAGGACTTGAGCTATCAGGGGACCCTGCCCGCTCAGGGTTCTGAAAGGGAGAAATTAGGACAGCCAGGGATGGAGGTTGAAACTGCTGAGGCTTACAGGTTGGTAGTTAGGGACACCATACCAGGAGCTGACCTCTGCCCTGCTGTGCAGTCCTAGGCAAACCACTCACCCTCTCTGGACCCCGAGTCACTGCCTAAGAAGGCAAGGGGAGTGGGCAGTGCCACTGTGTTGCCGCCCCAAAGTTCAGCACCACGGACAGGTCCCCGGCCTGCCTTCCTACGGGGCCTCTGAGAGCTGAAACCCGGCCGGCCCCGCGGTCTCCCACAGGACCCTATTCCGGACTTCATCCACACTCCCCTACTCAGGGCTATTCTTTTATCAGGAAGAGGGTGCAAGGGCTGGCTTTATAGGTAATGTTCTAACTTCCCATCTGTCCCCACCTGCTGAGGCACATGGGTGGGGGAGGGGGACACTGGGAGGGGGCTTTCAGAGGAGTGGGAGGCTTTAGGGAGGAGCCATACCCCAGGGTTTCTAGTCTCTGGAAGAATGTGAAGTCTGGGAGGACACGCTGTGTCCCAGTGTGTGTAATGGGCTTTGCTTACAGGTAGTGCTACGTGTTTGTGCGTTTTATGATCATGTGCCACACCCTCTAGAGAAGTCTGGACCCACAACAGGAGTTTCTCTGCGGATCTAGGAGGCCTCCACACCAGTCAGTGTGAATTCAGAGGGAGGATGGGATGGGCAAGGGCGAGGCCCCTTCCTCCAGCTGGGACTTGGCAGCCCTTCAGAAATCCCAGAAACCAAGAATAGAATCTTGGCGACAACCAGATCCTGGAATTGAAGCTGAGAATCGTGTCAGTCAGCAAACCCAGATTATAGGCTGGCTTGGAGGCCAGCCTGCTGCCAGAACTGGGGACCCCAGACAGACTAGACTGGATGTTGCCCTCTAGGAGCCCCCGGTTTGATTTAGGAGGCCAACTTGAAAAATGGGATTTTGATCTTGGCTGTTAAAGTCAATAATAGTAACAGCTGAAATTTACCCCTTCATGCCAGGCAGTGCTAAGTATTTTGTATGTATTGACTGTATTGACTTATCTATTCCCTCCAACTACCTGATGTTAACCCCATCTGACCTGCAAAGAAACTGAGGCACAGAGAAGCTAAGCTGTTTGCTCAAGGTCACACAGCAAGGAACAGGCAGGGAGACAACCCCAGTTTGATTCACCCCAGCACTAATGCTCTGACCATCAGACTTCACTTGCTGGGGTTCTGAAGTTGGCCCTGGATTTGGATCCTGGATCTGCCCTTGCTTGTTGACTGTGTGACCTTGAGTGATGCATGGCCTCTCTAGCCCACGTTTCCAGATCTGTAGAAAGGGAGGAATTGGTCCTTTCATGTCAACTATCTAGAAAGGATGTACTCACCCCTTACTCCCTCTCCATCTTGTTTCAGGTCCAGGATGGGGGCCTTGTTTGTCTGGGTCTCAGGCCTCCTGACTCTGCAGATGCTTCTCTTTGTGGCTGGGGAGCAGGGTGAGTTTGCTCGTGAGGTGGGAGAGGCTGGGGTCTGGAGAACTGACAAGATGGGGCAGCCTTTTAACTTGAGAGTCTTCTCCTGCTGGTTCTCTGGCTTGGTCTGGAGAATAAAATGGAAATAGATGAAAAAAGTCTTTGAACAGTCAAAAGCGAACAAGACACCTGAGAGGTTATTTTTAGTCATTGCCAGCAGAGGCTAGAGGTTTCCGCCTCTCACTGTTTTGCTGAGATGAGCTGAAGAGAGGAAGAGAAAAAAAAAAAGAGGGAGAGAGAATAGTATGAAGATTGATTAGTGATGCCTGCCATGGATGTAGCAATAGAAATAAAACCCTATATGCCTCTCTCTGGCATCCCCCCCAGTGGTGGTCAAAAGGCCAGACTTTAGAAATGCCTCCTGATTTGCTCTGTGGCCTTAAGCAAGTATGATGTCTGTGAGCCTCAATTTCCTCGACTCCCCCAGGAGAGGATGAGAGATGGCTACCTCTGCAGATGGTTATGAAAATCAAATGAGCTGATTGCTATTTATAAAGTGCCTGGTATATAGAAGGTACTCCACAAACACCGTTTCCCTTCCGATGGTTGCCTCTCGTTTAACTTTTAGGGAAACCATGGCTCAGAGGAGAACACTGACTTTTCCATGGCCACGTCAGTGACACTGAGAGTCAAATCTCTGGTCTCCAGGATCTGGACTTTGAGTGGAGGCAGAACTATGAAAGGATTCAACCCGGTTGCCTCTCTTCTGCTCACAGATTGGGCTGCAGATCACAGATCTGTGTACTGCCTTGTGATGTTGTATAGGCAGCCTAACCTCTCTGGCCTCAGTCTCCCTGTCTGTAAAGTGAAGAAAACTGCAGTCTCTGCTGGTCCTTGCCTCTCAATCAGGCCCTCTCTCCACCTTCTCCACCCCAGGCCTACAGCACACCACCGCAGCTGCAGCCACTGCTGAGAAGGGGCTCCACATGCAAAAAGTGGGGTCTGGGTCAGTCCGGGCTGCGCTGGCAGAGTTGGTGGCCCTGCCCTGTCTCTTTAGCCTGCGGCCACGGCCAGGTGCAGCTCGAGAAGCCCCACGGATCAAGTGGACCAAGGTGCGGACTGCATCAGGCCAGCGGCAGGACTTGCCCATCCTAGTGGCCAAGGACAACGTGGTCCGAGTCGCCAAGGGCTGGCAGGGACGTGTGTCACTTCCCGCCTACCCCCGGCACCGGGCCAACGCCACGTTGCTACTGGGACCACTGAGGGCCAGCGACTCCGGGCTCTACCGCTGCCAGGTGGTGAGGGGCATCGAGGATGAGCAGGACCTGGTGCCCCTGGAGGTGACGGGTCAGTTGGGGGAAGGGGAGGGGCCAAGGCTGGGACGGGGAAGTGCACTCACTGAATGTCATCTTAGAAATCACTCCTTGGGGAATTCCCTGGTGTCCAGTGGTTAGGACTCTGCACTTTCACTGCCAAGGGCCTGGGTTTGAGGGCCTGGATTCAGTCCCTTTTTGGGGGGTTAAGATCCCACAGGCAAAAACAAAAGAAAGAAAGAAATACTCCCTGAACAATGATTTGCTCTCAATTCTGATAGAATCATGGAGAAAGTCTCTGTGCACACTCCTCTGTCTTTAGCATCTCTGTTCTTTAGCTAAGAGAGAGCAGCCTCTGACTACTCTCTTACAGGCCACAACATTTCACAGGATTTCACAACCTGCAGTCCATGTCATGGTCGTCTGCTTTCACATAAGGCAGAGGATATTGGTTTTGTATTTAAAATAGGAATACAAATTTCCTTTTAAAATAAATATATGTTTTTTTAAAAGGGAAGCTCTTTTTAAAAAGTCAACTGAAAATATATATTAAGGGGACTTCCCTGATGATCCAGTGGCTAAGACTCCACACTTCCAATGCAGGGGGCCTGGAGTTTGATCCTTGGTCAGGGAACTAGATCCCACATGCCAAAACTAAAGATCCTGCATGCTACAATTAAGAGCTGTGCAGCCAAATAAACAAATAATAAACATTTAAAAATGCAGGTAGAATTCATTAAAAAATTATAAAAAGGAAATATATATTAAAGAAATGATAGTCCTCAGATATCTGTTTATCCAATTCCTACATTAAATTCTTTCTGTTGAAATATTCAGTGTAGTTTCTGTTTTCCTAACCAGTCAAGATGAACAAGGCAAACAAATATATATTTTTAAATTATTAAACCAAAGTCCTAGAAAAGGGCATGACACACAGAAGATGCTCGATAGATATTTGAGCACTGAATCAATGAATGGATCGTTGTGTGGAGAACACCCTGTGGACGCCTACTGGGAAGTCAATTTCCCTTAACCTATGTTGAAAAGTGGAAGCGGAAGTGTTAGTCACTCTGTCCTGTAGCCTGCCAGGCTCCTCTGTCCATGGTATTCTCCAGGCAAGAATATTGGAATGAGTTGCCATGCCCTCCTCCAGGGAACTGTCCTGACCCAGGGATCAAACCCAGGTCTCCCACATTGCGGACAGATTCTTGACTGTCTGGCCCCCTGGGAAGCCCTATATTGGCCATGAGGAAAAGCCCCTGCATCCCCCTGTTCTGGAGCGCAGTCTTTCCACGCCCAACAATGTCTCACTGTGTATTTTATGGGGTCAGACAATCATTCCCTTTCTAAGGCCTTGTTCTCAAAACGATAAACCTCAGAGAAAACAGAAAAGTGATGAAAGAAGGGAATTCCACCTCTGGGTTTGTTTAGTTCGTTCATTCTACCAGACATTTATGGAGCAGCTACCACATGACAGCCTGGTGCTGGAGACACAGCCTTGACTGAGACACAGCTTCTGCCTTCTGGGCGCTCTCAGTCTAGTAAGATGGAGCAAAATGTTTAATTTCTTTGTCTCGCTCAGCCATTTCTGTCATCTCTAAATCAGAATTTGAGTCACAGTGAGCTTATTGATGCTTCACATCTGATAAACCAGGATGTGAATTACATGTTACCTTCTCCAGGAAGCCGTCAGTGACTCCATTTCTAAACTGGGCAAGAACCACATTTGATCACCTGTTGCTCTTTGCTTCCTCTCTCAGTGCATGTACTTAGCTCCTAAAAGGAAGAATCTCTCTTTCACTCTTCTCCATGCCTTCTGTTACCTCCAGACCTTAACCCTGGCATGAAGAATGCTATCTTTGGAGTCCAGATCTCCCTGGATACAAATTCGGGCTCTCCCTTACACTGGTCATGTGGCCCTAGAGTTGTCCCTCAACTTTTCTGAGCCTTCATTTCCTCCTCTGGAAATGGGGATAAGCATAGGGTTGTTGTAAGATTTCAATGAGATAATGAGTATAAAGGGGCTTCCAGGATGGTGCTAGTGGTAAAGAACACACCGGCCAATGCAGGAGACTTAAGAGACCTGGGTTCAATCCCTGGGTTGGGAAGATCCCCTTGGAAAAGCCTTGGAAAGGGAATGATTGGTCAACCCCATAAAATATGCAGTGAGGCATTGTTGGCTCATGGCCAACATAGGGCTTCCCAGGTAGCTCAGACAGTAAAGAATCTGCCAGCAATGCGGGAGACCTGGGTTTGATCCCTGGGTCAAGAAGATCCCCTGGAGGAGGGCATGGCAACCCAAGCCATGGACATTCTTCTTGCCTGAAGAATCCCATGGACAGAGGAGCCTGGTGAACTACAATCCATGGGATTGAAAGAGTCAGACACGACCAAAGTGACTTAGCATGTACGTACATAGTGCTTATAAATGTCTTTTACATAGCAAATATTTAACAAATTCTAGCCCTTTACGGCCATTACCAGTCTCCTCATCTGTAAAACCAGGGTGTATCAGTCTCACTCCCCATCATTGCCCCAGCACTATGCCTGGTGCTGAGTGAGCAGACTTTGTACAGGGCAGTGCAGGGCAGTCTAGGTGGCGCATTCTGTAAGAGGGAGGTCTGTGCTTGAGAATTTCAGTGTAAATCAGCTCCCTATCCGGGGTGTTTCTGCATAGGTGTTGTGTTCCACTACCGAGCAGCGCTGGATCGCTACTCTCTGACCTTTGCTGAGGCTCAGGAGGCCTGTCGTCTCAACTCAGCCACCATTGCAGCCCCGCGGCACCTGCAGGCTGCCTTTGAGGACGGCTTTGACAACTGCGACGCCGGGTGGCTCTCTGACCGCACTGTTCGGTGAGGGGGTACACAGGGTAGGGAGATGGAGAGCTAGCCCCTGGAGAAAGATGTTCCTTGGGAGCCCCAGGAGCACAGATCTGAGAGAGGCCGCCACCTTGTCTTGTCAGGTATCCTATCACCCAGTCCCGTCCTGGTTGCTATGGTGACCGTAGCAGCCTTCCGGGGGTGAGGAACTATGGGAGGCGAGACCCACGGGAACTCTACGATGTGTATTGCTTTGCCCGTGAGCTGGGGGGTAAGTCTGGGGCTGGTAGAAGGCCCCCTTCTCTGAGCCCCTTTATCCTTCCTGACCCCCATCCTTCCCTAAGTCCTTGCCTAGCTCTCCTAAATTTCCCTCTCTAAACCTACCGCCAAGACCTGGACCCACCGGTTTTTCCTCCACTCCCTGAGCCTCTCACCTCTGTGCCCCTTCCCTTTCTCTGAATCTCTCCCCCTTCCTGCCCCCTTCTCCCTCTTCCTACTTCTTCCTCCTCACACCTTCCCCCAAGCCCCTTCCTCTTTCTGAAGCCCAACTCGTTCAGGCACCTCAGTTACCCCATTTCTGAAAAAAAAAAGTGAAGCCCCCTCTTAGCACTGCCTGAGTGGCAATGAGAGTGATGCTGTGGCGACGGGGGCGCGCAGCTGCGCAGCCTCCATCTCGTTTAGCCACAACCCCAATCCGGCCAGATCAGGGCTATTTGAGACGGGAACCCGTTCCCGGGCTCCGGGGGAGGGTCCCCGGGACACCTCTGACCTTCTCCCGCGCCCTCCCGCAGGCGAAGTCTTCTACGTAGGCCTGGCCCGCCGCCTGACCCTGGCCGGCGCGCGTGCGCAGTGCCGACGCCAGGGCGCCGTGCTGGCCTCGGTAGGACAGCTGCACCTGGCCTGGCACGAGGGCCTGGACCAGTGCGACCCGGGCTGGCTGGCCGACGGCAGCGTGCGCTACCCGATCCAGACGCCGCGTCGGCGCTGCGGTGGCCCAGCCCCGGGCGTGCGCACCGTATACCGCTTTGCCAACCGCACGGGCTTCCCGGCACCTGGAGAGCGCTTCGATGCCTACTGCTTCAGAGGTATGTGTGAGGCCACGCCCCTGGAGGGTGCTTCCCCTGGTGACCACGCCCCAAGGGCGTGCGCTTTGCTAACGGCCACGCCCCTGGAAGTTTGGGTTTCTAGTGGAGGCGGAGGTCAGGCAGGGGAGAAACAGGTTGAAAACCTACTCCGCGGTGAGCCACGCCCCCAGGGGAAGGTCACATCCCTGAGACAAGCTTTCCGTAGGAGCCTCGCTGCTACTTAGGACAAGCCCAAGGCAAGCCAAGCTCTGCGGGGAAGTCCTGTTTAGTGTGTGGTCTAGGTCTTCCAGGTGGCGCTAGTGGTAAAGAACCCGCCTACCAATGCAGGAGACACAGAAGACGAGGGTTTGATCATTGGATTGGGAAGGTCCCCTGGAGAAGGGCATGGAAACCCACTCCAGTATTCTTGCCTGGAGAATCTCGGACAGAGGAGCGTGGGTCGCAAAGAGTCGGACACGACTGAAGCGACTTAGCACGTATGTCTCCTGAGACCTCTAAGAGATGATCTCAGACCTCTGGATGGAAAGTTTCTTGCCTGGAACCTTGCGCAGGAGCACCCGCTGGGAAGGGATTAATGCCTCGGCTAGCCACGACCCCTAAGCAAGGCCACGGCCCCAGGGACAGGACCAGGGGATGACCCTCGCCCTTGGGTTGGTTCCACACCCTCAGAAGCCGCCAACCTCAAATCCAAAGGAGCTGAGTCTTATGTGAAAGGGCGGGGGTTGAGGGGAATCTCTTCGTAGGGAGGCCATGCCCATTAGGCGCTTTCTCTCCCTGGGGAGGAGCCACGCCCGGGTCTGACCTGCCCCCCTGAGAGTTGGCACTGCCTGCACTTCACCCACCAGCCAAGATGTCTCTTGACCCTTTACTGTGACCAGTTGACTCTGACCTTGACAGTGGACCTGTCTGAACAATGGGGACGAAAACTTTGCACCTCCATCTCTCAGTCAGGGGGATCCCAGAAACAACCCAGAGAGTCAGAGGGGCACAGAGATACGAAGATCTGTGCTGCAGCATGCTGGAATTATGGGTAGACTTCAGGCAGGACTTCCCAGCTAGGCCCTGGGCCTAGCACAACCTCTTCTGCTTTCTCCCACAGCTCATCACCCCACATCCCAACATGGAGACTCAGAGACCCCCTCATCTGGGGATGAGGGGGAGATTCTGTCGGCAGAAGGGGCCCCTGCTGGAGATCTGGAGCCCAGCCTGCAGGAGGAGGAGGAGGTAGTCACCCCAGACGTCCAGGAGCCTCTGGTGTCTAGTGGGGAAGAAGAGTCTCTGATCTTGGCAGAGAAGCAGGAGTCTCAAACGACCCCCAGCCGTGCCCCTGGGTTCCCCACATTAGCCTCAAGTCCTGCCCTGGAGACTGAGGAGGTGTGGCTGAGCACCGTGGCCCCCAGCCCTGGCAGCGTGGAGGCAGGCACTGTGTTGGGCACGCACGCAGAGACAGCCCCAGCCAGCACCACGCCCAGGAAGAGGGAGCGCTTTAAAGGGTTGAACGGGCGCCACTTCCAGCAACAGGAACCCCAGCAAGGGCTGAAGGGGGCACTTGAGGCCAGCGTCCAGCCCCCGACCCCAGAGGCTACTGGGAATTATGTGGAGCCTCCCATGACCACTGGAGCCACAGACGCCTTGGGGAGTGGCCAGAGCCAGAGCCCCTGGGCTGTGCTGACAAATGAGGTGGAAATGCCCAGAGCTGGTGAGTGGGGTCCCTGGGGGAAGTGGGACCTGCCTGGGGATCTAAGGGAGGCAGGGGAGGAGGTTCCGAATCACAGCTGGGTCCCCTGGCCTCCCCAAGCCTCTGAAGACCCCTCTTCCTCAGGCCCGGAGCCAAGGAGACCATCAGGAGAAGGAACTGCCAAGAGATAATTATAATAACTGTTGATATTGTTTCAGGTTCCCTTGGTGGCAGGAGCCCCCAAGAGCCCTGGCTGTGGCCCCCAACCGTGGTCCCGCCCATCATCCCAGACCCCAGCAGAGCCCTTGACCTGGAACTAGGAGAAGCCAAGCGCTTTAGTGTGAGACCAGTCACCTCCGACCTGCCCTGGTCCCCCTCGGAGACCACTCCCAACCCCTCCAGTGGCCCCAGCCCTGCCCCCTGGGAGGCTTCTCCCGCGGTCATTTCTCCAGACCTCCCTGTGATGGCCATGCTTCGCGCCCCCAAGCTGTGGCTTCTATCACAGGAGCCTCCTACACCGCTCCCCACTGAGGCCAGTGGAGTCAAGGGGCATAGTGTGGCCATGGCCACTGCCCCGCCCTCCCCTGCCTCGGAAATGGAAGCCAGTCCACAGGATCCCATCCATCCAGAAGTGTATTCCCTGCCCTCCTCCTCCGGCCTGGCAGGACAAGATGGAGAGTCCACATCCCTGTCTCTCAGCGGCCACGGAGGAGGAAGTCCTCCGGCCCCTTCACAGGCAGCCATAGACACACAAGCTGGAGCCAGTCCTAATTCCCCTGGAGTAGACTTTGGAGAAACGAGGGGGGCCAGCCCTACTGAGCTCAGCAAAGCTGAGCACCCCGGATCCAGCCCACAGGCCTCTGTGGACGGGAATGTGGGGGCAGATATCACTGTTTCTGAGACTGCCACTGAGCCCCTGGGAGCCAGAGGCGTCTCGGAGTCTGAGTCAGGGGTCTTCAACACAGCAGAGAGTCCCACTTCCAGCTTGCAGGCCTCCATGGACAAGACGCAGGGAACGTGGGCCTCACTGCACAGGGGAGGGCTGGACCCCCACTCCCTATCTGCACCCTTGGGGGTCCCTGAAGTCTCCTTGATGCCCAAGGTCACCACCCCACATTCGGGGCCTTGGGCTGCTACAGGTGGAGGAGTCACAGTGGATCCTATGGATTCCACAGTCACACTGGACACCAGCGATGCTGTCGGGTATTGGGAACCTGGATCCCACATGATTGAGGGAGCCGAAAGCTCCACCTTGAGCCCTCAGATGGCTGTGGATACAAGTGTGGTGACATCCCTCACGTCCTTGGACCTGGGGGACAAGGTCGAGGTCCTGTCCCCGTTCACAGTGGCCTCCTCAAGCTCCCGGCCCCACCCAGAGCCAGAGGGCCAGCTGGTGACCCAGGGAACACTGGGAGCCGTGGAGCCTCCACAGGAGGGCAGCCACTCGGGGGACCCCATTCTTCCTCCCTGGACGTCGACAGCAGCCAACAAGGACGAGCCCATTTCAGTTTCCTCAGGGGAGACTACAGTGCCGTGGGACTCCCCCAGCACCCTGCTGCCTGCCTCCCTGGGCCCAGAGGAATTTGAGCTGGAGGTCCTGGTGGGGAGCCCAGGTGTGGAGAGCTTCTGGGAGGAGGCAGCAAGTGGAGAGGAGCCCGCCCTGCCAGGGACTCCTGCAAATGGGAGTGCGGAGGAGGGTGAGTTTGAAGCTCGTGGTCTCATCCAGGCCACTGTGTTGGTGCTCAGGGACCTGGGGTTGGGAGGAAGGATTGTCCTTGGTGCCTGGGAAGGTTTCTAGCAGGGGCTGGTGTTCAAGATGGGGGCTCATCAGACAGAGCTGAATTGCAGAAAGGGTGTTCCTGGCAGAGGCACCAGCCTGGGCAAAGGACAGGAGGTGAAGTTGTGTATGATGTGTTTTGCACACCGTAGTGGTTAGGGGATGATGAGTGGTTGGGCAGAGTTTGGTTTGGGGAATGAGTACCATCAGCAGATCATGTTCATGTCCTCTTTGAGCTGACAGTGCTGGGCAAGGCTGGGGTCCTGCCTTCAGCGATGCCTCTGTCTGAAGGTGAGGCTGGCACAGACCTCCCCCTAGGGGGGAGCAGAAGGAGGAGGCTTGGTAGGGAGGTCTTCCTGGACAAATGTTGAACTGCAGCTGAAATCCAGTGGTGCACATCTTGAGGGACTTCTTGCCACAGGGAATGTGTGTGCTGGGAAGGGTGGGAGTGGTGGGCATCACCCCCATTTTGCAGAAAGCAAACTGAAGCTCAGGGACATATGTCACTACCAGCCAGTCAGTGATCAAACCTCAAGTCCAGATGTGCCTTAGTTGCTCTGTGCCCAGTGGAGTCCAGAGAGAGCCACCACCCTGTT